TGCAACAAGGCTAGTTCCAGAGCTCAGAGGAATGTCCTACGATCGAAGGTTGAGGGAAATCGGACTGATGACACTGGAGGACAGAAGGCTCAAAGGAGACATGATGACGACATACAAGATACTGCGTAGAATATATAAGGTGGACAGAGACAGGATGTTCCAGAGAGGGGACACAAAAACAAGGGGTCACAATTGGAAGCTGAAGACTCAGACGAGTCACAGAGATGTTAGGAAATATTTCTTCAGTCACAGAGTCGTCAGGAAGTGCAATAGTTTAGCAAGAGACGTAGTGGAGGTAGGAACCATACACAGCTTTAAGACGAGGTATGACAAAGCTCAGGAAACATAGTGAGAGAGAGAGGACCTAGTAGCGATCATTGAAGAGGCGGGGCCAGGAGCTGAGTCTCGACCCCTGGAACCACAATTAGGTGAGTACAATTAGGTGAGCACACACACACACACAAAACAAGAGATAGTGTAGGTCAGTTACCCAACTACAGGAGATCAATTCAACGATAAAAATAAACCCCTTTTAGCAAGGTCACCTGACCACTGTAGCCAGTATTCAAGGCAGGGTATCACATTCATGTGGCTACACTGTTCAACACAAACACTCTGTATGTTGACTTTGGCCCATGTTTAGTAATTGTTTCGAAATTATGTTTATTTAATGGATAGTTTAAAGTGTATTCATATCTGTTTATAAAATTCCTGGACTAAAATACTACCCAACATTCCTTCGCTAAAGGTCATAGTATCTCAGACATTAATTAAACTTGATTCAACACTCAAGACGTAGTTTTTTAAGAACTAAACAACATAACATTATTTATTTATTCATGGTGATAAGAAGAACAGCAGAAATTATATATATATATATATTATTAAAATTTTATATATATATTTTTATATTATATATATACAAACACTGATCTCTGGCTGAAGGAGACTCGAACCTACGAACCTTAGGACAAGGTACGCAGTGCTTTACCAATCTACCCACACTGGACAATACCTTGGCGTGTAGCATGCGCTACACGTTGTACCCTGACGTCTCCTACCCACTGTACTCTGATGTCTCCTACCCACTGTACTCTGACGTCTCCCACCCACTGTACTCTGACGTTCTCCCACCCCCACTGTACTCTGACGTCTCCCACCCACTGTACTCTGACGTCCCCCACCCACTGTACTCTGACGTCTCCCACCCACTGTACTCTGACGTCTCCCACCCACTGTACTCTGACGTCTCCCAGTCACTGTACTCTGACGTTTCCCAGACACTGTAATCTGACGTCTCCCACCCACTGTACTCTGACGTCTCCCACACACTGTATTCTGACGTCTCTCAGCCACTGTACTCTGACGTCTCCCACCCACTGTACTCTGACGCCCCCAGCCACTGTACTCTGACGCTCCCACCCACGTATCGACGTCTCCCCCCCACTTTTCTCTGACGTTCTACCCACTTTTACTCGGACGTCTCCCACCCAACTGTACTCTGACGTCCCCCACCACTGTACTTGACGTCTCCCACCCCTGTACTCTGAGTCTCCACCCCACGTACTCTGACGTCTCCCACCCACTGTTACTCGACGTCTCCCACCCACTGTACTCTGACGTCTCCCCCCCACTGTACTCTGACCTCCACCCATGTACTCTGAGTCTCCCACCCACTGTACTTTGACGTCTCCCACCCCCTGTACTTGACGTATCCCACCACTTATTCTCTGACGTCTCCCACCACTGTACTCTGACGTCTCCCACCACTGTACTCTGAGTCTCCCCCACTGTACTCTGACGTCTCCCACCACTTTTACTCTGACGTCTCCCACCCACTGTACTCTGAGTCTCCACCACTGCCCCAATACGTTCCCACACTGTACTCTGACGTCTCCCACCACTGTAATTTGACGTTCCCACCCACTGTACTCTGACGTCTCCCACCCACTGTACTCTGACGTCTCCCCCCCACTGTATCTGACGTCTCCCCCCCACTGTCTCTGACGTCTCCACCCACTGTACTCTGACGTCCCCCACCAACTGTACTCTGACGTCTCCCACCACTGACTCTACGTCCCCCACCCCTGTACTCTGAGTCTCCCACCCAGTACTTGACGTCTCCCACCCACTGTACTAGAGTCTCCCACCCCTGTACTTGACGTCTCCCCCACTGTACTTGACTCTCCACCCATTTACTTGACGTCTCCCACCCACGTACTTGACTTTCCCCCACCCACTGTACTCTGACGTCTCCCACCACTGTACTCTGACGTCTCCCACCCACTGACTTTTACGTCTCCCACCCACTGTACTCTGACGTCTCCCCACTGTACTCTGACGTCTCCCACCCACTGTACTCTGACGTCTCCCACCCACTGTACTCTGACGTCTCGCACTCACTGCACAATACGTCTCCCACCCACTGTACTCTGACGTCTCCCACCCACTGTAATTTGACGTCTCCCACCCACTGTACTCTGACGTCTCCCACCCACTTTTACTCTGAGTCTCCCACCCACTGTACTCTGACGTCTCCCACCCACTGTACTCTGACGTCTCCCACCCACAGTACTCTGACGTCTCCCATCCACTGTACTCTGACGTCTCCCACCCACTGTACTCTGACGTCTCCCACCCACTGTACTCTGACGTCTCCCACCCACTGTACTCTGACGTCTCCCACCCACTGTACTCTGACGTCTCCCACCCACTGTACTTTGACGTCTCCCACCCACTGTACTCTGACGTCTCCCACCCACTGTACTCTGACGTCTCCCACCCACTGTACTCTGACGTCTCCCACCCACTGTACTCTGACGTCTCCCACTCACTGTACTCTGACGTCTCCCACCCACTGTACTCTGACGTCTTCCACCCACTGTACTCTGACGTCTCCCACCCACTGTACTCTGACGTCTCCCACCCACTGTACTCTGACGTCTCCCACCCACTGTACTCTGACGTCTCCCACCCACTGTACTCTGACGTCTCCCACCCACTGTACTCTGACATCTCCCACCCACTGTACTCTGACGTCTCCCACCCACTGTACTCTGACGTCTCCCACCCACTGTACTCTGACGTCTTCCACCCACTGTACTCTGACGTCTCCCACCCACTGTACTCTGACGTCTCCCACCCACTGTACTCTGACGTCTCTCACCCACTGTACTCTGACGTCTCTCACCCACTGTACTCTGACGTCTCCCACCCACTGTACTCTGACGTGTTGTATTGTGATGCTTAACATAGAAGTTTTGACTTCATATTGGACACGAAGTAAATGTGACCTTCAGCATTTAAGTAGAGACTAAGTACTGTGACCTCCCCTTCCTTAGTGTGACCTATTCTCTAGTATGATCTCCCTTTCCCTAGTGTGAGCTCCCGTTCCCTAGTGTGATCTCTTTCCTAGTGTGACCTCCCCTTCCCTACTGTTATCTCCTCTTCCCTAGTGTGACCTCCCATTCCCTAGTGTGATCTCTTCCCTAGTGTGACCTCCCCTTCCCTAGTGTTACCTTCCCTTGTTACTTTGACCTCCCATTTCCTACATACTGTGATCGCCCATTCCCTACATCTTGTGACCTCTCCTTCCTTACATACTGTGATCTCCCATTTCCTACATACTGTGACCTCTCCTACCCTATATACCGTGACCTCCCCTTCCATACATAATGTAACCTCCACTCCCCTACATAGTGAGACCCCCAATTTCCTACATAATATGACCTCTTTTTCATATATAATGTGACCTACCTTACATGCTGTGGCCTCTCTTTCCATAAATATTGTAACCCCCGTTCCCTTAAAAGTGTGACCTCACATTCCATACACAGTGTCTAGCGCCCCTGTTCCCAGGCGGTGTTTGACCCTCACTTGTTTATCGCTTCCCCACTAGAGCAATAATCGTCTTGGTGGCCATGACAGAGGGTGCAGGGGTCGGGGATACAATACAACAGGGAGTGATACAATACAACAGTGAGTGATGCAATACAACAGTGAGTGATACAGTACAACAGTGAAACAATACAACAGTGAGTGATACAATACAACAGTGAGTGATACAGTACAACAGTGATACAATACAACAGTGAGTGATACAATACAACAGTGAGTGATACAGTACAACAGTGATACAATACAACAGTGAGTGATACAATACAACAGTGAGTGATGCAATACAACAGTGAGTGATACAGTACAACAGTGATACAATACAACAGTGAGTGATACAATACAACAGTGAGTGATACAGTACAACAGTGATACAATACAACAGTGAGTGATACAATACAACAGTGAGTGATACAGTACAACAGTGATACAATACAACAGTGAGTGATACAATACAACAGTGAGTGATACAATACAACAGTGAGTGATACAATGCAACAGTGGGAGATACAATACAACAGTGATACAACTCAACAGTGAGTGATACAATGCAACAGTGGGAGATACAATGCAACAGTGATACAACTCAACAGTGAGTGATACAATACAACAGTGATACAACTCAACAGTGAGTGATACAATACTGCCGTGAGTAATAAAACACAACAGTAACCTATATATACCCTCTGTGTCCTGTATTATTCGTAACAGCTTGACAAAGCTCCTGGAGAGCGAAACGTTGCCACAATAAAATGTCACATTAGCTGCGCTTATGTAATTTTACCAAATATATTGTCGGTATTTCTGCCATTATTATTACAACATTCTTCAAATAAACATATATATAATTTCCGTAGTAGTAGTAGTAGTAATAGCAGTAATAGTAATAGCAGTAGTAGTAATAGTAATGGCAATAGTAGTAGCAGTAGTAGTAGTAGTAGAAGTAATAGTAATAGTAGTAGTAATAGTAACAGTAGTAGTAGTAGTAATAGTAATAGCAATAGTAGTAATGTTAATGGCAATAGTAGTAGTAGTAGTAATAGAAATAATAGTAGTAGCAGTAGTAATAGTACCATCATCATCTTGACATAGTTTCTCTCTTTCAGGAGGTGACGATTGAGGGTTACAGTGTTCCCAAGGGCACGATGCTGCTGCCGCTGCTGTGGCAGGTACACCACGACCCTGACACCTGGAGTAGCCCAGACCTGTACCACCCCCAGAGGTTCTTGGACGACCAGGGCAACGTCATCCGTCACCCAGCCTTCATGCCCTTCCAGACAGGTGGGTGCTGGAGGAACCTGGAGTTATGAAGCACCAAACAGGTGAATGCTGGAGGAACCTGGGATTATGAAGCACCAGACAGGTGGGTGCTGGAGTAACCTGGGGTTATGAAGCACCAGACAGGTGGGTGCTGGAGGAACCTGGGGTTATGAAGCACCAGACAGGTGGGTGCTGGAGGAACCTGGGGTTATGAAGCATCAGACAGGTGGGTGCTGGAGGAACCTGGGGTTATGAAGCACTAGACAGGTGGGTGCTGGAGGAACCTGGGTTATGAAGCCCTAGACAGGTGGGTGCTGGGCGAACCTGGGGTTATGAAGCACCAGACAGGTGGGTGCTGGGGGAACCTGGGGTTATGAAGCACCGAACAGGTGGGTGCTGGGGGAACCTGGGGTTATGAAGCACCAGACAGGTGGGTGCTGGAGAAACCTGGGGTTATGAAGCACCAGACAGGTGGGTGCTGGAGGAACCTGGGATTATGAAGCATCAAACAGGTGGGCGTATGGATAAATGTTATCAGTAATTACCTATTACATATTTATATGTATATATATTATATAATATAAAATATATATATATATATATATATAATATATATATATATATATATATATATATATATATATATATATATATATGTACTATGTCACACTACACATGCGTGTACACGTTTATGTATACACACTCATCTGAGTTTTTCTTTGATTTTATCTTAATAGTTCTTGTTCTTTTTACTTTCCCTTTCATTTCCATGCTGAAGTGGAATAAGAATCTTTCCTCCGTAAGTCATGCGTGTTGGAAAAGTCAACTAAAATGCAGGGAACAATGGACTAGTAACCCCTTTTCCCGTATAACTTACTAAAAAGAAAAAGAAGAAAACCGTCAAAGTGGGATGTTTGAATGTGCGTGAATGTTGTGCGAATGATAAGAAAGAGTTGATTATGGATGTTATGAATGAGAAGAAGCTGGATGTCCTGGCTTTAAGTAAAACAAAGCTGAAAGGGGTGGGAGAGTTTCAGACTCTTGGCCAGATAACTGTTCTTATGTGCACTGTTATTCTTCAGATCGTGATAGTTAAACTTTCTGTATTCTCATCCATGTTATTGACAATTTTGTGTATTTGCATCCCAGAGTTTATACTGATGAAGAAATCTTGATGATTTATGATATAGCTAATGATCTAAAATACCCTAAATACTTAATTGATAAATCCTTTAAAATTGCTAGAAATACATTTTTTCACATCAAAAAAAGGAGAAACAGTCATATTCAACCAAGACTGCTGATGGTTGTGTCTACAAACTGGGAAAAGTATTGAACTAAGATGACAACAACTTAAATATAGAATTAGAAATGGACAAGAGTCTAATGCCCTATTTATATATAAGAATATAACAGTGGAGGAACACTGCGGAAGGCCTACTGGCCCATGCAAGGCAGGTGCTCATCAAAACCACCACTACCCAAAGGTACCCAAGAATTTACTTCCGTACCCACGACACAAACCAAACCCAGCCCCTCCCACTCATATATTTATCCAATCTCTTTTTAAAGGTGACCAATCAAACGACTTCAATCTCTTTTTAAAGGTGACCAATCAAACGACTTCAATCTCTTTTTAAAGGTGACCAATCAAACGACTTCAATCTCTTTTTAAAGGTGACCAATCAAACGACTTCAATCTCTTTTTAAAGGTGACCAATCAAACGACTTCAAGACATGAGCTTGTAAGTCCTACACCCACTGGAAATTTAAATATAAGTATGGTGAACATATTAATGCAGTCGAGACATCGTGAACACAGCTCTGCTCCTTCTCCTAGAAATGGATAATTACCGCATATTACAATATGCAGAACAACCACTGTGAGAAAATAGTGAAATTCCAAGCGCTGTCGTGATTTCTCGTATTGTGAAGGAACTGTTCCTTGATAATGTGAGAAATCGTGAAAGTGCTTGGAATTTCTTTATTTTTTTCACAGTGGTTGTTCTGCAAATAGGTAATTACATGTATGTAATTTCACACACACACACACACCAGTTTGGAACCCACACCTAGCCAAGCACGTAAACTAGAGAAAGTGCAAAGGTTTGCAACAAGACTAGTCCCGGAGCTAAGAGGCATGTCCTTCGATGAGAGGTTAAGGGAATCAACCTGACGACACTGGAGGACATGAGAGATGGGGGACATGATAACGACATACAAAATACTGAGAGGAATTGACAAGGTGGACAAAGACAGGATGTTCCAGAGATTGGACACAGCAACAAGGGGACACAAATGGAAGTTGAAGACATAGATGAATCACAGGGATGTTAGGAAGTATTTCTTCAGCCACAGAGTAGTCAGGAAGTGGAATAGTTTGGGAATCGATGTAGCGGAGGCAGGATCCACACATAGCTTTAAGCAGAGGTATGATAAAGCTCACGGTTCAGGGAGAGTGACCTAGTAGCGACCAGTGAAGAGGCGGGGGCCAGGAGCTTGGACTCAACCCCTGCAACCTCAACTAGGTGAGTACACATACACTGACAATCCTCTCTCTCGCACACACAGGTCGCAGGATGTGCATCGGGGACGAGTTCGCTAAAATGATCCTTTTCATCTTCGCTACAAAAATTCTTCAGCGGTTCAGGGTTGGCCTCGAGGAAGGTCTGAAGGAGGATCCATCCCAGGACCCTGTCTCTGGCATCTCACTCTGCCCAAGACCCTTTAAGTTGGTCTTTACTCCTAGAGTAGCTCCTTAGACCTTACTCAGACTCTTCAACACTATTATTATTATTATTATTATTATTATTATTATTATTATTATTATTATTTTAATAATAATAATAATAATAATAATAATATTATTATTATTATTATTATTATTATTATTATTATTATTATTATTATTATTATTATTTTAATAATAATAATAATAATAATAATAATAATTATTATTATTATTATTTATTATTATTATTATTATTATTATTTTGTTTTTAATTATTGTTACTTGTCTGTTGTAATTTTTAACACAATAATGAATTACTTTATTGTTTATATAAAATAACAAGTATTTTCCTTCCGTAACATCACATAATAACATCAGGAATCCCTTAGTGAACTGTAAGTTTAATATTTTTGTTAGTTCTTGTCTTCAATGGGTTACACTGGTGTCCCAGTAAGCCAGCATGTGTGTTTTACACTTGTAAAACACACATACATTCTTAATAATAAACCACCCATCGACCTTCCAAGTTGAGTGTGTGTGTGTGTGTGTTTGTGTGTGTGTGTGTGTGTGTGTGTGTGTGTGTGTGTGTGTGTGTGTGTGTGTGTGTGTGTGTGTGTGTGTGTGTGTGTGTGTGTTTGTACTCACCTAGTTGTACTCACCTACTTGAGGTTGCGGGGGTCGAGTCCGAGCTCCTGGCCCCGCCTCTTCACTGGTCGCTACTAGGTCACTCTCCCTGAGCTTTATCATACCTCTGCTTAAAGCTATGTATGGATCCTGCCTCCACTACATCGCTTCCCAAACTATTCCACTTACTGACTACTCTGTGGCTGAAGAAATACTTCCTAACATCCCTGTGATTCATCTGTGTCTTCAACTTCCAACTGTGTCCCCTTGCTGCTGTGTCCCATCTCTGGAACATCCTGTCTTTGTCCACCTTGTCAATTCCTTTCAGTATCTTGTGTGTCGTTATCATGTCCCCCCCTATTTCTCCTGTCCTCCAGTGTCGTCAGGTTGACTTCCCTTAACCTCTCCTCGTAGGACATACCTCTTAGCTCTGGGACTAGTCTTGTTGCAAACCTTTGACTTTCTCTAGTTTCTTTACGTGCTTGGCTAGGTGTGGGTTCCAAACTGGTGCCGCATACTCCAATATGGGCCTAACACGGTGTACAGGGTCCTGAACGATTCCTTATTAAGATGTCGGAATGCTGTTCTGAGGTTTGCTAGGCGCCCATATGCTGCAGCAGTTATTTGGTTGATATGCGCTTCAGGAGATGTGCCTGCTGTTATTCTCACCCCAAGATCTTTTTCCTTGAGTGAGGTTTGTAGTCTCTGGCCCCCTAGACTGTACTCCGTCTGCGGTCTTCTTTGCCCTTCCCCAATGTTCATGACTTTGCACTTGGTGGGATTGAACTCCAGGAGCCAATTGCTGGACCAGGTCTGCAGCCTGTCCAGATCCCTTTGTAGTTCTGCCTGGTCTTCGATCGAGTGAATTCTTCTCATCAACTTCACGTCATCTGCAAACAGGGACACCTCAGAGTCTATTCCTTCCGTCATGTCGTTCACAAATACCAGAAACAGCACTGGTCCTAGGACTGACCCCTGTGGGACCCCGCTGGTCACAGGTGACCACTCTAACACCTCGCCACGTACCATGACTCGCTGCTGTCCTCCTGACAAGTATTCCCTGATCCATTGTAGTGCCTTCCCTGTTATCCCTGCTTGGTCCTCCAGTTTTTGCACCAATCTCTTGTGTGGAACTGTGTCAAACGCCTTCTTGAAGTCCAAGAATATGCAATCCACCCACCCCTCTCTCTCTTGTCTTACTGCTGTCACCATGTCATAGAACTCCAGTAGGTTTGTGACACAGGATTTCCCGTCCCTGAAACCATGTTGGCTGCTGTTGATGAGATCATTCCTCTCTAGGTGTTCCACCACTCTTCTCCTGATAATCTTCTCCATGATTTTGCATACTATACATGTCAGTGACACTGGTCTGTAGTTTAATGCTTCATGTCTGTCTCCTTTTTTAAAGATTGGGACTACATTTGCTGTCTTCCATGCCTCAGGCAATTTCCCTGTTTCGATAGATGTATTGAATATTGTTGTTAGGGGTACACATAGTGCCTCTGCTCCCTCTCTCAATACCCATGGGGAGATGTTATCTGGCCCCCATTGCCTTTGAGGTATCTAGCTCACTCAGAAGCCTCTTCACTTCTTCCTCGGTTGTGTGCACTGTGTCCAGCACATGGTGGTGTGCCCCACCTCTCCGTCTTTCTGGAGCCCCTTCTGTCTCCTCAGTGAACACTTCTTTGAATCTCTTGTTGAGTTCCTCACATACTTCACGGTCATTTCTTGTTGTCTCTCCTCCTTCCTTCCTTAGCCTGATTACCTGGTCCTTGACTGTTGTTTTCCTCCTGATGTGGCTGTATAAGAGTTTCGGGTCAGATTTGGCTTTCGCTGCTATGTCATTTTCATATTGTCTTTGGGCCTCCCTTCTTATCTGTGCATATTCGTTTCTGGCTCTACGACTGCTCTCCTTATTCTCCTGGGTCCTTTGCCTTCTATATTTCTTCCATTCCCTAGCACACTTGGTTTTTGCCTCCCTGCACCTTTGGGTGAACCATGGGCTCATCCTGGCTTTTTCATTATTCCTGTTACCCTTGGGTACAAACCTCTCCTCAGCCTCCTTGCATTTTGTTGCTACATATTCCATCATCTCATTAACTGGCTTCCCTGCCAGTTCTCTGTCCCACTGAACCCCGTTCAGGAAGTTCCTCATTCCTGTGTAGTCCCCTTTCTTGTAGTTTGGCTTCATTCGTCCTGGCCTTCCTGCTTCTCCTCCCACTTGTAGCTCACTGTGTATTCGAAGCTTAAAACCACATGATCGCTGGCCCCAAGGGGTCTTTCATATTGATGTCCTCGATATCGCACTACTCAAGGTGATTACTAAGTCCAGCCTTGCTGGTTCATCCTCTCCTCTCTCTCTTGGAGTGTTCCTTACGTGTTGGTACAGAAGTTTTCCAGTACCTTCCTCCATCATCTTAGCCCTCCATGTATCTTGGCCCCCATGGTGTGTGTGTGTTTTGTACTTTACCTAGTTGAGGTTGGGGGGGTCGAGTCCGAGCTCCTGGCCCCGTGTGTGTGTTTTGTGTGTGTGTGTGTATTTGGGGACTCATTATAATTGATGTTCATGACTTTTGATATTTTTGTTAACCTTTTAACATTTGAGAATAAAAAAGGTCACAGAACCACAACTGGAAAAAAAACCATCATCATGAACCTCAACACGACGTCTTGGTCCGTCCTAGACGGGTAGTACTACTGTTACTACTGTTGTAGTACTACTATTACCGCTACTTGTATTGTACTACTACTGTTACTACCGCATGGGTCCTTTGGCCTTCTCTTCTTTCCTCCTTCCCTACTCTGTTGTTAACTTGAAAATAATAAAGGTTGGACAGAAACGTCGTCATAAGACTCTTCTATTAAGTGCAGAAATTTTTGGTGAATTGCGGTATCAGATTTATGGTGAATTGTTTGCATCACATTTATGGTGAATTGTAGCATTAGATTTGGGTGAATTGTAGCATCAGATTTATGATCAATTGTAGCATCACATTTATGGTGAATTGTAGCATCAGGTTTTTGGTGAATTGTAGGATCAGATTCATGGTGAACTGTAGCATCAGATTTTTTTTTTTTGAATCATAGCATCAGATTTTTCATAAGGCCAAGTGTTTACGAATGGTGATTTAGTCAACTGCTTAACTTACGCTATGCTTTTTTGGTACTTAAGCGCAATATTATTATTAGAGTATTTAAAAGGGTTTTTACGTTTCGGTATATTGATTTTGGGTTTTGATAATGTAATAAGGTTGTGAAATACTTATATAAGAATAAAAGTATATATTTTAACATTGATAATAGTTTATGTGTCCTTATTCTTGGTATTGTGCTACATTAGAAGGAGAAGAGGAGGAGGAAGAAAGAACAAGAAAAAAAACACGAAGGTCATTAACCTATTAATTCCATTGGAGTTTATCTGCAAGATACGACCCACGACAGTCTAGTTGCCCCTAATACTTCTTTACCATCAAACGAACAGAGCGAAGTTGCATGGAGACCCTTATCCATATATCCTGATCCGCCGGGGAATCGAACCGAGGAGCCTTCGATTGAGTACCGAACAGTCTGTCACAAACCTGCATGTTTTCTCTGTTATCAAGTCTCGTGAAACAATGATGATACACGTTAAGCGCATATATATATATATATATATATATATATATATATTATATATATATATATATATATATATAAATTTATTTAATTAAAATATATAATTATATAATATAAAATATATGCAAAACAACCACTCTGAAAGAATAGAGAAATTCCAAGCTTTTTCGTGACTACTCACATTATCAAGGATAATGTGAGTGTCACGAAAGCCTGGAATTTCTCTATTTTTTTCAGGGGGTTTTTTTGCATATTCTAAATCACCTTTTTACTTGACTTATTGATATATATAATAAAATTTATATATATATATATTTTATATATATAAAATATATTATATATTTATTATATATATATATTTATATAAAATTTAAAATTATATATTATATATATTAAATATATATATTATTATATTATATATATATATTATATATAAAAAATTATATATTGGGAAATTTTTGAGTGAATGCGGGGGGGATTTTGAATCAAGTGGAGATAATGGTGGTTGGGGATTTCAATGCAAAAAGTGGGTAAAATTTAGGAGGGAGTATAGGTAAATTTGGGGGTGCCGGGGGTAAAAAAAATGGGGACCCTTTTTGAGCATGGTAGAAAAATTTTTGGTAATAAGTAATACAATTTTAGAAAAAGAGATAAATAAATATAAAGGTATAAGTAGCACGTAATAAAGTAGTTTGTTAGATTATGTTTGGGTGGAAAAAAGGGTTGATGGTAGGCTCCGGATTACATGTTTATGAGGGGCAATGATAATGGGATCATTATTTAGTTGTACTACATTTTAGGGGAAAGAGT